TATTTTCAGATTAACAAAACCAGCCAATCCGTGTATTTTATTATGGCAGCCCAAGCAAACTTATACAGCGTATCTGGGAACAGACACCTTCTTAAGTGGGCAAAAGGGCTATTTCTTGGCATACACCCCTCTCCAGGACCATAGGGCAGGATGGGAGGTTTGTCTGAATGGAGCTCCTCCCTGACCCCCCTGATCCACACTAAATACCCACCTGAACTGAAATGTGCAAGAAGATGATGTGGAAAAGGTCGGATGTCAGATGCAGAAGCATGGATCTTGTTCCTGGTTGCCTGTGAGAGGAGAATGGATGAATGTGTCTGCCTTAAGCCTGAAGTCCTTGCATTTTGGATTTCTTTAAAAAACAAAAACCAAAAAAATGTAGCCTGCAAAACCATGTCAAGCGACACAGGCTTCTTACAACAGAGCTCGGGGATATCTAGTCCTTTCCGGAGCAGCCACAGACACACATGCTCTTTGGCTTAGCCTATGGGAACAAATGATTCACATGAGAATTGAAATTTTGGACCAGACCCAAGGAGGGGCCTGTGCCTGTGGGAAGGCACCCTGAGTGGCTGTCCTGAGTGTGAGTAACCTAGCTGCTTTGGCGCCACCCCAGCTGGCCGCTGTCCAAGCACTGAGCAGAGTAATGACTAACCCAGCTTCCTCTGGGAGGGAGGAAACAGTTAAGATCTTGCAGCAGCTGCAATCACCTGGGCGTGGCTCTCTTGTCTGACTTTGGCTTCAAGGATCCTGGGCCCAGGAGCAGAAGGAGGAAAGCTCTGCCGCAGTGCTTTCCAGATGGCCGAGTTGGACCTGATGGCCCCAGGGCCGCTGCCGGGGATCGCAGCTCACTCCCTGGTCACTCTCAGCCCAGACTCTGGGTCAGCCAGCCCAGCAGAAGAGGACAAGGGCTCCCTGGAGAGCCCCCAGGGAGAGTTGGAGGGGCTGGGCGCTGGCTCCCACGATGGTGGCGGTGGTGAGGAGGAGATCCCATGTGACTTCTGCCTGGGGGCCCAGAGGGTGAAGGCGGTGAAGTCCTGCCTGACCTGCATGCTGAACTACTGTGAGGAGCACCTGAGGCCGCACCAGGAGAACAGCAAGCTGCACAGCCACCAGCTGACGGAGCCGGTGAAGGACAGGGACCTGCCCACCTGCCCTGCCCACCACAGCCCGCTGGTCGCCTTCTGCCGCCCAGATCGCCAGTGCATCTGCCAGGAGTGTGGCCAGGACCAGCACAGGGGCCATGCCTCAGTCTCCCTGAATGTTGCCCGCAGGGACAAGGAGGCAAGTGCCAGGGTCCACTTGGGAGAGGGAGGTGGGAAGGTGCTGTGCCCGGGAGGGGTTGAGCCACACTGCAGCTCCCAGGGTGCTCACTTCACTTCCGAGCTCTGGGTTCACCTGAGAAGGACATTACCCCAGTAGCCGGCAGCACCCAGTGGCAGTATCTATTTCATTTGGCTTTGGAAACTGAAATAGGTCGCTCTGCCCCCATAGAAGTCCTGCTGCCTCTGTTCTGGCTCTGCCTGTGGCTCTCTCCTCATGCTGGCTTGTTTCCTGCTGTTTTTCACGTGGCTGACGTCATTGTTACATGTTTGGATGTGGGGTGCAGAAGCTGTGGGGCTTGGGGCAGAGATGGTCCCTTTTGCCTAGGTCTCGGTGGCAGTCAATGAAATGTAAAGCTTGGCATAAATTCAAGAAAAAAGCATCAAACCTTTCCCCTAATTTCTCTTATTCCCTCTCCCCCAAACAGGAGACCAGTAGAAAGTGCCCCCCTAGAGGTACCCAGGGTGAAATTCAAGAGCTTGAAAAGGGCTAAGATAACATAGAGTTGGAAACTTACCTCCAGGCACAATGTCAAGGAAGCTTAACTCTGGGAAAATACAAGTTCCTTATCAGATAGAGGAATCAGGAGAGATAGAAACACCATACTCATAACCTGTAATTGTATTCACATCAGATAGGGAAACTGTTTCTAGAACAACTAGCCCTAAAGCTGAGAGCCTAGAGTTCTTGGGAATGGATTTGGCAAATTTGTGTACTTTGTTTCTCAGCCTTGAACTTCCCAGTGAGGAAGTGCAGTTGCTTTTGTCCCACATTTCCTCGTATTCGTATTCGCACTGCTGGCGGTTTCTGCTCTGCTCACTGCTCACTGGGCAGGCCCATCTTGTCAGTCAGGAGGCTTCTGGGAAGCGTAGTTTACTTGTTAAGCCCCTCCCCCTGCCCTTTCTTAGGCATAGATCCCGTTAGTGTTAGTGGGAATTGTTTTGAAAAGCGCTGTAGCCCAGATGCCAGTGAGTCTCCGTTTCCAACTCTGGGAGCCACTCGACAGTGGTTTCTAGAGTTCCCAGTGTCAGGGAAACTCCCTATTTTCATAACCATGAGCAGACTTTGCATGAACAGATAGTCAGGTCAAGGGGAAAAGCTCATATAACTGAGGAAATTAGTCTCTACTGAGCTCTGCTACTTGCTGACTGCTCCCCGTGGATTTTCCCATCCAGTCCTCAGATAACTCTACGAGGTGGCGATCTGTTGTCTCCACATTAGTCTAAACTCGCACAGGTGACTAAGTCATGGAGGGAGGAGTGTAAGCTCCTGGGAGCCACCCCACTGAAGGAGCCCGAGGGAAGGACCCCACGATCACAATACGACAACCTGGCTTTATTTTGTACTAACAACCTACCGCACATATAGCAGAAATAGTAAGACAAAGGGCACTGCTTTTTCCCTTGGGTATATGTCTGGATTTCTTTACACTTTACTGGCAAAGTGGTGTGTGTACATGTTGAAAAGCAGTCTCCACCAAACACTGCAATAGGTTATACAAGAAGGTTCCACCCCCATCCTGCATCTCCATCTCCCTCCCTGGAGGCAAACGCCACCATCTACACTTCCTTCTGTTTTCTTTTTTAAATTTAACTGAAAAAAATTTTTAATCCTCACCTGAGGATATTTTTTTCCATTGCTTTTCAGAGAGAGTGGAAATGAAGGAGGGAAATGGAGAGAGAGAGAGAGACAGACAGACAGACAGACAGAACTCAAACATCAATGTGAGACATGTCCATTGGTTGCTACTGGCTGACTCCCTCACGCACCCCAGTGGGGGACTTGGAGCAAACCTACAACCCAGGTATGTGCCCTTGACTGGACAGTGTGTGGGCCAGTGCACTAACCACTGAACACACCAGCTGGGCCCTTCTGTTTTCTTTAAGGAATGTTCTATGCCTGTAGCAGCATAGACAAAATATGCTTTTTAAATGTAGTGTACACTGATGCATTACAGAGACTTAGGGTAACTGCAATTCTGAGCAAAAAGTTGTGTAGAGCATGTGAACCAAACGCAAATTCAGACACCCTAAGGCAGTGGTTCTCAACCTTCCTAAAGCTGCGACCCTTTAATACAGTTCCTCATGTTGTGGTGACCCCCAATCGTAAAAATTTTCGTTGCTACTTCATAACTGTAATTTTGCTACTGTTATGAATCATAATGTAAATATCTGATATGCAGGATGTATTTTCATTGTTCGCGACCCACAGGTTAAGAACCGCTGCAAGGGAACTGGTAGGATAAAGTAAAGACAGCTGGTTAGGGGTTCTAGGGAAGGTTTTAGAGCTTAAAAGCAATCACGGTGTTCAACGGTGCGACAGCCCCAGACCCCAGATTTTTTGGTGATGGCCTCAATTCACAGGCTCGGCTTTCTGGTCTGCCTAACAGAGTACGTGTCCTGCCCACCCTGGGTCCTTGTTTTCAGCTTAAATAGTCAGTTTACTCTGTAAGTGGCAGCCACGCTCTAGATGGCTTTGCCAAATCTTAGGAGCCAAAAGGTTTCCTGCGAGGGGCCCAAGGTACTAACCCAGAAGACACAGTACCTCAAAGAGGCTGCAACTGCCAGTAGAATTATTTTGAAAGTTTTATTAGACAAAATTAAATTCCTTTCATCTGGCCCAAACCTGCTGGCATCACATGCTGAAGGTCACTCAAGCAAGCATGTTGTGCATAGAAAACTGTAAATAGCATGGTCAGCCATGAGGACAGAATGTAGCCGAAATCCAGCATCAGCGCAGAGCAACTTACATCTCAGTTAACCAAGGGAGCCCTTTCGGAAGCTCCCACAGACTTTAGCTATCCCAGGGGACAAACGCCGAGTTTGGGGAGTTCTGGGTGTTCTTTGATTATTTGTTCTATTCTGCTAGACTCTTCCCATTAGGTTCCCTTTGCTTCAAACCAGCTTCCCAAGGCCCCTTCACTTCTAAGAGCCTCTGGTCTTACCTCCTCTCCTGCCTGCCCATCTCAGGGGAGCTGTGCAGCGAGCTGTGCTAGGTGCATGCATGGGAAAGTGTGCACTCTCTCTGACTGCTGTCCTGTTTGTTCTTCCCCAGGAAATGCACAAGGTTCTTTCCTGTTTTTCCTCAAGTTTATCACTTATGGAGTGCTTCCTCTGGGCAGTGTCCTCATGACTGGCCATGCTATTTACCCTGTCTGTCCTTAGGAACAGGAAGCCAAGGCACATTCTGTGGCTCCCCAGAATGCCAAAGGGCTGGGCAACACAGCTGCCACGCGATCGAAGAGGGCGTGGTCGTGGCGCTGAGGTCAGGGCAGGCAGGATTCTTGAGGGAGGGAAGGCTGATATGGGCCCTGACTCAGATCTCAAATTCCATTAGTGACAAGCCATCGCACTCAACCTCAGCACTGGTTCCAGGAGCTCAGGCCTGTGTGCTGCCCGCAGACACAGCCTCCATGTGGAACAGGAGCCCAGTTTCTGAGAGCCCCAATATCAGTGCATCTCTGGGAAGCAGTGGGCCAGCATCGCTCACAGCCTGTTTGCTGGCATCTGGGAGGCAGTGAGCGAAGGCCTCTCAGGAAAAGAATTTCTCCTAGAAACTTTGAGGAGTGCCTTGGACTCAGTCTTATGTCACTTGTTTTTCTAAACATTCCACCAGGCTGCACGGTATGTCTTTCAAGAGCAGGGAGGATGTCTTATTTCACTGGGCTGGCATGTGGCCGGTTCTGACCGATGACTGAGGAGTGAAGTCAGGTGGGAACCAAACGCAAACACTCCCGAAGGACCAGCATCTTGTGGTGGGAAGTACCAAGGAACGACCACCATCCAGAATCTTCTGCTCTTTTCTTGTGCTCTCTGCTCTTCCCATTTGCATCTCTAATCTGGCTCCTGGCCATGGAGCTCTGGGTGGCCACCTTCTCCCTGTAGATAGAAACGAGGACAATTCTGTGACATAGTCTTGTGGCCCTGCACCAGAGGGATACGAAATGACTTGATGAAGGTTGTACAGGCAGCAACCAGGCCTCCAGACCCCAGATACGGTGCCTTTTGCACATTTGTCATTGCCCTGCTGAAGCAGGCAGGACTCTGTGCCCTTCAACACTGGGCTGTCTCCGCCATTGACACTGCTGTCCTGCTCGGGCGCCCTGGCCTGAGATGTGTATGGCTGGCATCGTAGGAAACCCTGAAGCCAGAGTCTGAGCTACCCCATCATTTTCCAGGAGGAGGAACAACTGGAGATACTGGTTTCTCAAAGTGACCCCACCTTTTGTGGTAAACAGGAGTGACTTCTCTTGGGGTGACTCATTCAGAGAGGTCACCATTAGGTTCATAGGAACCTTTTTCTCCTTTTATGGTGGTTTGCAGAAGTGAGAGAAGTGCCTCCCTGGAGATTCTCTGGGGTCTCCCTGTGGCTCTGGCTCATGGTGGGACTCACTGCTTCACCACATTCTCACATTGCCAGGGTGTTCTGCTGTATCTGCGTCTACTTTTAAACAGCAGCTCATGTTTCTTCCCCTCCTCTGGGAAAGGTTGTTGTGTAAACCTTTTAGACCAGCAATCGCCAACCGGTGGTCCACTGACCACTGGTGGTCTATGAGGTCTGAAAGGTTGGCGACCGCTGTTTTAGACAGATCAAGATTCCACAATTGCCCCCAAATAGACCCGATCCCCTCCCCCATCCGCACTCCTGGGCATCAGGTCTCAGGTCTCAGGAGTGGGAGGGAGGTCACTGGGGTTCCCTGGGCTCCAAGTCAGCGCCCCAGAGCTGAGCAAGCAGTACCTGCCTGCCAAGGCTCCCTCACTGGGAGGCCTGGGTGTCCCCCAGGTTTCAGTGGGAGAAAGGAGAGGCACTTCATTTGTAGCCTCTGAGTCCTATTAGGGCACAATGACTCATGGCTTTGAATGCAGACAACCTATTAAAAGCAAGTACAGCTAAAGCTATTCTTTTTTCTTTTTTGCTGTCTCATGCCCTTGTGGAAGCAGGAAAGTGAGAGGGCCTTGAAAGTTTTCAAAGGCTTATGTTTCATCCCTTGGCACATTTTGTGGCAGAAAGTGCTTAGGGTGTCCCAGGAGATGAAGCTGGGCAGTGGGGTCAAACCGAGGTTCCCAGGTGGGCACTTGCCTCGCTGGCTCACTATACCTGCCTCCAGGAGTGAACAAGAATGCGTGGTGGAAAGCAGCTGTGGCAGCAACAATACTAAGGATACTGACGAAGGTGACGGCATCCCTGGCATTGATGCAGCATTCACAATACTCCAGCTACTGTGCAAAGTTCTTATTAACACAGGCTACCTCATTTGACTCTCACAGGAACCCTGCAAATTAGGACTTCACAGGTGAAGAAATGGAGGTCCCAAGGTGTTAAGTAGATTTTTTTCAAAGTCTTAGCTGCCGAGTAGAAAGCCTGGGGTCCCCTCCATCAGCTCCAAGCCCATGCTCCTTGTTAGGTTATTCTGGCCTAGGTCAGATGGCCTGGACTCAACTCCATAGTTCACCTTTCATGTTATCATCTGTAAAATGGAGATAATGACCTTAACCTAATATGGGTGTGGTCAGGTTGATATGAGGTAATCTGTACAACTGCTAAAAATAATGACAAGCCTGCACCATGTATGTGCTCCCCATATTATAGCCAATTCGTGCTGCGTTCAGCACACAGATGACCCTGGGCACCTCCATTTAGGGTGCTTTGGGCTGACTTTGAGAGCAGCTTCCGAGGTCAAACTCTCCTTTCCATGAAAGGAGGTGGAGAGTGCTATTGCTCCTGTGACCTTCTGTGTGCGTTGGACTCCTTCTTACTTAATGCTGTCCTTTTCTTTTCTTAGGCTGAGCTTCGGAGCACCCAGCTAGACCTGGAGCGGAAACTCAAGTTGAATGAAAATGCCATTGCCAGGCTCCAATCCAATCATAAATCCGTTTTGGTAAGGCTGGACTGGGTCACCTGTCAGGCTTCAGCACACATCTGGATGCAGCTGCAGGCTCAGCTAGGCCATCAGGGTTGTAGAACATGGGGCTGCAGGCCCAGGACTCTTTGGGGTCTCTCAGCAAATGAGAATGATAGGAACAGATGCAGTCAGCTACACTGCTGAGTGGCAACCTTGCTGTTGGGATTTTCTATGAAATTAGTTTAAGGCTCAAACTTGGCAAGTGAGTTACTTTTTCATAATATAGAGTAAAAGCAAGACTAGTCCTGTAATTAATTACATTTGCATATTCTTTCTTGAGCAGGAGAAAAGGGTGTGGGGGATTGCAGGGGGTGTTTAGATAGAGCTCCAGGAATTATACATAATCTTTGCTTCTCCACCTGCATGTGTGTCACTAGTCCCAAGTCTTGGCAGACAGAAAAGAGAGTTGAAAACTGCTGGATTAGTGGATGGTAGTAGTTAAGGTCAATGGTGTGCAGGCTGCTTAGTGTTAGTCACTCTGGTTTTATGACCATTTTGCATATAAACTGTCTGTAGACCCAAACAGTCCCACAAATGTTTCTCATTAGTGGCAAACCAATAACCACTACTCAGAAGAGAACTCAATACACCTACCCTGTGGCAGTGAATCAGCAGCAGCATCTTTGTATAACAAGAATTATTGTATCCCATCCATCTATCCATCCACTCATCCATCCATCCATCCATCCACCCATCCATCCATCCATCCACTCATCCACTCACCCATCCATTAACTCATCCATGCATCCCTCCCTCCATCTACCCACCCATATGTAATGCATGTATTCATTTCAACTTAATTTCCTCCTCCTTAGTGTTTACAACTAACTAGCTCCTGAAGGGCAAACACCTCTTTCTTACCCACATCATCAAATGAAAACAAGAAAAACAATCGCCCATTTGAAGCCTTATAAACCCTCAGAGATTGTTGATTTCCAGGCTTGGCATAATCTGGACAATCACACAGAGCACCTTGCCTTTTTCTGAAATGTTCTTTCATTTTCAGACACTTAGATCCCTACCCAGCTCTCTTCCTAATTGCATGGTAACTGGGAGCAGTAGTTATCACCAGGTCACCATGTACGAGGGACATGGAGACAGAGATATGATAAGACTTGCCTGAGGCCTCCAGACTGATGGAACAGGTGAACCTGGGACTGTTGCTCCCTGGACCTAAGAATGAGTCAGTACACTGGCAGACATGTGCACCATCCTCTTTACATCATCACCTTTGGCACTTTGATGTTTGTGGCCCCTCCTTTCCCTCATCTTTATTTGTCATCCTTTGGGCAGTAAATTAAATCCTTCACACATTCCATTTACATGCAAGGAAGAAGTGCTTCTCCAAGGGAACGTTTAGGAGTGAGAGGCTACACATAATAGCGGAAGAACGAATCCACCAGCATCATTGGAGGCCTCCTGTCTACAGCTCCTCCTCAGGAGGACCCCTCTAGGGAGAGGGGATTTGGACCCTGAGGTTGTCTTTAGTTTTATGCCTCTGAGCTTCATGCAGTCATGCTTCTATGAGGAACCTACATGTCATCATTATAGGGAGTAAGTGGATTCCTCTCCTTTCCCACAACATCCCAGGCCAAACCAACCTTGTCTTGCTAAGGCAACAGGAAAGCAAACATCTGGCCAGAAGGACTGAAAATTATGGACTCTCTTCCTGAAGAGGAATCAGAAACCAGCCGTGTATAGCTCAAGAGTGACCCAGCTTGTCAGCACCAACAGGAATTTCTTTTTTTCCTGTTCATGTAGTTATTCCCTTCTTTTCCTCATAATAACCCCTTGCCCTCATCCTGTAATTGGGACACTGTTTGGGTTTCTGCCGGAATTGGTGTTCTCTGAGCTGCAATTCTTTTTAATTCCAAATAAATGCTTGTTGCCTCTGAGGAAAGAGTGAAAATAGGAAATATATAAAATGAAGTCACTTTCACAAAGCTGATAACATTATTAACATTATCAAGGCTGAGGCATGAGGCAAGACTCTAATCTTGTCCTAACTATCCTGGGAACTTAAACTTTCTGAACTTTCCAGTCCTGTGTCAATGCCTGGATCCCCATCTGCATACACCAGACCTCCAGGAACCCCAATTCCCTCCTGAAGGGCTCACATACCCAGGCCACCTGATATCCAAGTGACATTCATTATACAGACCACTGGATGTGGCCAGATCTCCTGGGACCCATCTTCTAGGTTACTTAGCATCCAGCATCCAGACCACCTAGCATGTAGTTCTAGGGCTAGGAGTGTAGGGCTCATTATTCATGAGAATGCAATATTTTTACTATATTTTAAGAAATCTTAACTAGAGTGAAAAAGAACTTTTTACTAGAAGAACTGAAGGCACCAGTACTTAAGAAGTACCAAAGAGAAGCAGAAACCATCCACAACTTGGATGGATATTGTAAATGTGAGACTGACTGAAGGAAGGCATTTATAAGATGTTCACCTGTGAAAGATGGATGGATGGATGTCCCACATGCACAGTGCCATGTGACAGCTATCACTCTGAGTTTGTTTATCTGTTATTTAAATATGGCGCTCACTCTGCACCAAACACACCCTAAGCATTTCATGCCTGGCAGGATGCCATAAACTTACTTATGCTTTTGGCACTGATGGCCTCAGTGGGCTGTTTAGACAGATATAACAAAATGCTAAGAAAGCTAACTCATGCTACAGATTTGTACAAAGATGCCAAAATAATAGTTTAACTACAATAAATACAACTATAAAGTACACTGAACTCTTGAGTTACCCTGGTAGAGAAATTGATTTCAGAACTTTGAATAGCAGCCCAACTGTCAGAGCCAGAAGGTGTCTGGCACACATACAATTCACTCTCTCATCCAGTGGGTGAGAGCCTAAGTGAATGACGGGTACACAAGTCCTTTTACATGCTGGGGAGTATCTCTTTTCATAACCCAGGGCTCATATGAGAATAAAGCCCCCTTTTACAATAGAAAATTGTTCCTTAATCTGCTTATCAGGTTTACATTTCGGTGTGTTTAGCTTCGATAACGGTGGACACCTTGCTAACAGGTTCTTCTCTGTGTCCCCCTCCCCGCCCGGCCAGGTGTCAGTGTCAGAGGTGAAGATGGTGGCTGAGGAGCAGTTTGGGGAGCTCCTTGCTGCTGTGAGGAAGGCCCAGGCTGATGTGATGCTCTTTCTGGAGGAGAAAGAGCAAGCCGCCCTGAGCCAGGCCAATGGCATCAAGACGCACCTGGAGCACAGCAGCGCAGAGATGGAGAAGAGCAGGCAGGAGCTGGGGAGGATCGCTGCCATCAGCAACACCGTGCTGTTCCTGGAGGTACAGTCTGGGTGGGGACAGAGGTGTCCGCACAGGACCACCAGGGAGTGAGCTGGCAGATGTGGGGATGGAGCTGCCCTCTGATCAGTGTGAGCAAGGGGGGCATAGAGGCAGGTCTTGATTCAGCATAGCACAGGAGAACAGGCAGGGCAGGGGAAACTTCGCAGAGTAGGAAGCTGGAACCAGTCAGGGAAGATGAGTACTGCTCAGAAGAATGATTCAGAGGTTTGAGGAAGCATGTCTGCAGGCAGAGGTTTGAGGAAGCATGTATGCAGGCAGAGGTTTGAGAAAGCATGTCTGCAGGCAGAGGTTTGAGAAAGCATGTATGCAGGCAGAGGTTTGAGAAAGCATGTATGCAGGCAGGGAGGTTTGAGAAAGCATGTATGCAGGCAGGGAGGTTTGAGAAAGCATGTATGCAGGCAGGGAGGTTTGAGAAAGCATGTATGCAGGCAGAGGTTTGAGAAAGCATGTATGCAGGCAGGGAGGTTTGAGAAAGCATGTATGCAGGCAGGGAGGTTTGAGAAAGAATGTATGCAGGCAGAGGTTTGAGAAAGCATGTCTGCAGGCAGGGAGGTTTGAGAAAGCATGTGTGCAGGCAGAGGTTTGAGAAAGCATGTCTGCAGGCAGAGGTTTGAGAAAGCATGTATGCAGGCAGAGGTTTGAGAAAGCATGTATGCAGGCAGAGGTTTGAGAAAGCATGTATGCAGGCAGAGGTTTGAGAAAGCATATATGCAGGCAGAGGTTTGAGAAAACATGTATGTAGGCAGGGAGGTTTGAGAAAGCATGTATGCAGGCAGGGAGGTTTGAGAAAGCATGTATGCAGGCAGAGGTTTGAGAAAGCATGTATGCAGGCAGGGAGGTTTGAGAAAGCATGTATGCAGGCAGAGGTTTGAGAAAGCATGTATGCAGGCAGGGAGGTTTGAGAAAGCATGTATGCAGGCAGGGAGGTTTGAGAAAGCATGTATGCAGGCAGAGGTTTGAGAAAGCATGTCTGCAGGCAGAGGTTTGAGAAAGCATGCCTGCAGGCAGGGAGGTTTGAGAAAGCATGTCTGCAGGCAGAGGTTTGAGAAAGCATGTATGCAGGCAGAGGTATGAGAAAGCATGTATGCAGGCAGAGGTTTGAGAAAGCATGTATGCAGGCAGAGGTTTGAGAAAGCATATATGCAGGCAGAGGTTTGAGAAAACATGTATGTAGGCAGGGAGGTTTGAGAAAGCATGTATGCAGGCAGAGGTTTGAGAAAGCATGTATGCAGGCAGAGGTTTGAGAAAGCATGTATGCCGGCAGGGAGGTTTGAGAAAGCATGTATGCAGGCAGAGGTTTGAGAAAGCATGTCTGCAGGCAGGGAGGTTTGAGAAAGCATGTATGCAGGCAGGGAGGTTTGAGAAAGCATGCTGATTTGGGGGGTTAGGTGCTTTCCCAGAGATGGGAGAGGAGGCTGGCCAGGCCTGGCAGGCATCTGGCTGTGAGAGAACTTTGCTCTTCATCAAGAAGTCACAGAAGCAGTGGAGGACCTCAGGTGTGGGAGGGATGAACTCAAGGAGTGTGCTTTTGAACCACTGTGATGTGGTGAGGCCGGCCTGGCAGGGTGAGGCTGGAGGCCTGTTACATGTGCAGAGATTGAGGAAGGCCCCATGAGGAGAGACTTAAGTTCCCTTCTAGTTACAACAAATATAAATGTTTACTGTGTGAAAACCAGAAAAATATGAAGGAAAATAATCACCCATACTCCCACCACCCAGATAACCATAATGAGTGAAAGAGAAGCAAAGACAAAAATATGGATGGAATATCTTTTTGTTAGTTCCTTGCTTTCCAATATCAAAACATGAAGAGACTATGAATCAAAATTGACCTTCATGTCACGAGTTTCTCCAAAGAGAATATACACAATTTCTTTTCATTTTCCTTTTATAGCTTTAACATAAGAACTTTAATAGGCACAAAGTATCTTACATAAGTTAACTTACTTTGGGTAAAAATAATTTCCTTTTCCCCAAATTGCTAGCCAGCTGACATGACAACAGCTAATTGATAACCTGTCCTTTCCCTGCTGGCTACTGTTATCGTGTGTGGTTCAAAATCTACATACAGTGTTTCAATGTTCTTCTACCTTTCTCTCTATCAGCTCTCTGGTTTGGACTGTTTCTTCTTTCTCACTGATCTATCTTACCGTTTTGGTACAACTGCTTCCATCACTAAGTTTTACGCTGTACCCAGTCTGCTCTTCAATGCTTCAATTACGTTTGAGTTTGGATAACGTGTTACATCTGAAAGCAACATTTCCTGATCATCATCTTGTTTTGCAGCATCACTGACTTAATGTGATTATCTCTGTGGAAGCACTTTTCAAACTCTGAATCACAGTACAAGAATGAGCGGGAATCGTGAACTCGGGCAGGGAGAGAGCAGCCAGCATTCCTGTCTGAGGTCTTATCCCTGCACCTCTGAGCGCCATACAGACTCCTCCGTTCCCCACTGTGGCTTATGTCCAAATTATTTTTAAAAGTCCTGAGGGTGTGAGCGTAGCAGGAATATCATTTCCTTTGGCTGTTGGCATGAAATGTCTTCTTGGCTCCAGTCTGGGCTGTGTATTGGAGCTGCTCATGGGCTTCTAGTACCTCTTGACTTTTAAAAACCCACTTTCCCAGCTTAAAAAATAAATGGTTTCTATGTTGCTAGCCCCTGAGACTAATGCACATCTGACATACTTCCTTTGTGAGGTGCCCATTGCCATCGACCCATTTTACAGCAGCAAAGGGGGACAGAATGAGGAGAGCAGCCAGTTAAGGAAACACAGAAACCAGGGCAATGCCGTGCTTCCCTCCCTGTAGGAGTACTGCAAGTTTAAGAACACTGAGGACAGTGCCTTCCCTAGCGTTTACATAGGACTCAAGGACAAGCTCTCGGGCATCCGCAAGGTCATCACGGACTCCACTGTGCACCTAGTCCAGTTGCTGCACAACTATAAGGAAAAGCTCCAGGAGTTCGCGAAGGACGGTGAGAAACTTCCTGTGGGCTGTGGTGTGTGTCTCTCAGAGTGCTTGATGGGGAAGGTGAGAGAGAGAGCGCCAGGGGAGGAGGCGAAATCAGCGGGACGTCTCATTTTCAAAGCCATCCTTTGGCCAGACTGTGTTCCTAATGGACAGGCCTTGATTTCATTTTACAATTGAGACCAGGTAAGGTGGGCTAGTCACATCATGCCATTGGCTGACATTTCTATGTCTCTCAGATTGCTAACACCTATGCTTTTAAGTGAAATACAGGCCAGTCTGACATCTTTTTCAGGCTATTTTGCTTCATGAGAGAAATGTGGTCCAGTGAGCATGGTTCTCTGAGATGTGATGAGGCTCCAGCCCCATATCCCTCCAGGAAACCTGGGAAAGGGTGGCTGGGAAGACCTGCTTCTGAGTTCTCCTGAACACCTGGACAGGTGTGCATTCACAACTCTCTGACTTTCTAGAGGAATATGACATCAGAACGCAAGTGTCAGCTGTGGTCGAGCGCAAGTATCGGACCTCAAAACCTGAGCCCAGCACCAGGCAGCAGTTCCTCCAATGTAAGTGTGAGCAGCTCTCTTCCTGGTTATCGAGGTCAGTGCCGTGCTCTGCTGAAGCAGGAACGCCTTCTCTCCCAGAGGTTTCAGCTTCTTGCAATCTTTGGTCTATCTCTAAATGGTACATTTTGAAAAATTTAATTACAATTGTTTTTAACTTTTCACTTCGAAACAATTTCAAACTTAAAAAAACATGCAAAAATAGGACAAAGAATTCCCATGTACTTTTTATCCAGCTTTTCCAAATGTTAACACTTTACATAACTTCAGTACATTGATCAAAACCAGGGAATAAACATTGTGGCTACAGTGATACTAACTGTTCTATAAAATGTATTCCCGCCTCACCAAGTGTTCTAACCAATGTCCTTTTTATTAACCTAAAGTCCAATCCAGGATCACAGGTGTTTCCATGCCTCCTTAGACTCCCCCAACCTGGATCTGGTCCCTCAGTCCTTCTTTGTCTTTCGCGACCTTGGCACTTTTGTACAGCCTTGTTGATACCAAATGGTTCCCCATGAAGTCTGGCTTGGCCAGGACTGCATAACACATTGTCCTGTCATGATGTGGTATTGACCTGCTCTGTTAGCATTATTACAACACTGCACTGCCAATCGACGCTTCATGATGGTTAACAAGCCCATGAGGCTTCATCTCCTAGTAGAGGAAGGACTGCATCTGCATGTGAAGGCTCGTTTTGGTGACATGGCTAATTCATCTTTTTGGAATACGCCATTGAACTCTGCTTCTTATTATTTGTGGGGATGACCCCTGGCTGACCAACTCCTGGGCCCCTTTTTCTCCAGTTATCACATGCAGCTTCAGGCTCTGATGCCTGCCTCCTACTCCTGCCACAGCTCTGACTTTTCCCAGGATCTCTTGGTTTCCACACCATTTCTATGGCTTATTCTTGCCTTCTCCTGGCAGAAGAACATCTGTATTTTACAAACAGATATGATTCATACAAGACGCCAAATACCCTTCATTCTTAACATAAAACAAAAATGACACATATCCTATTACAATCTGTTTTCTTTTGCATGACAAATATTTTTGTACACCCAATATTAACTATTTCTATGTGAGCGTTGTTATGAACCTTTAACTTTTGTAGACGCAGATGTTTCACTTTTCAAAGTTCTGGGGCTCAAATTGCCACCTTGACCAGTTGGAGCCACTTGTACGCTGGCCTCTTTCTCTTTTAAACATTGGCATTCTGCCTTTGATATCCTTAGAAGTATCATTGCGTTTAGGGCTATTCCAGACCCATTCTTGTCCCAAAACATAGAATCACCTACCCTCCAGGGAGTCCTTCATCCCCTTAAATGAGAGGAAAATCTTTGTTCAATATCTGGATGCCAAGGATTGCCCAAGGAGTTGGTGGTGGGTAAGAGCGATACTGCGGATACTGTTGGGGCCACTTTTAGTAATAGCTGCAGACTATATGCCTTTGATGGTCCTCAGTTTACGCTCATTTTTGCCTTTAATTTCCTGCACTGCTGTGTCCTTTATTCCAGGATGTAGTCTCATTGACTACTAAGAATTCCTCTTACCAAAGGAATTGGGAAAGCTCCTAGTTAAACTGAGAACTTTTTAAGTTAATGGATTTTAAAATAGCCTTTAATATGTGCATTCATTTGGCAAGTATATACTGCGCATCTTCTCTGAGCTGGAATCCCAGGAGAGAGTCCCACATAAAATGTGCCTCTTACAGATAAGAAGAAGAACAAGCATGAAGCAAAAAAATTATTACACATTGTGATGAGCACCATGAAGTTTAAAAAAGCCAGAGTGCTCAGTGATGGGAGTGATTCGGATCAGGGAGTCACAGGGAGCCTCTTTAAGGACAGGAATCTCAGCCGCAACCAGAAAGGATCAGTAGGAATCCCCGGACCCGGCTGGGGCAGCAATGACATCATGGAAGGAATGGCCTGTGCTAAAGTCCTTAAGGGGGTTCAGTATTAGGTGGGTCTGAGATCAGTGGAGAGGGCAGTTGACAAGGCTAGAGACACAGTCAAGGACCCATCATGCAGGGCCAGGTAGGTCAGGGCAAGGGGTCACTGCTTTATCCTAAGACAGTGATGGCGAACCTATGACACACGTGTCAGAGGTGACAAGCGAACTCATTTTTTGGGTTGATTTTTCTTTGTTAAATGGCATTTAAATATATAAAATAAATGTCAAAAATGTAAGTCTTTGTTTTACTATGGTTGCAAATCTCAAAAAAATTTCTATATGTGACACGACACTAGAGTTAAGTTAGGGTTTTTCAAAATGCTGACACGCCGAGCTCAAAAGGTTCACCATCACTGTCCTAAGAGCAAGGGGCACCACCTAAGGGCTATAAGCTGGGGGACATGATTCACCTTGACCTACATCCTGAAACAAACACTGTGGCTCCATCCTGGGGAAGATATGAGAGGCAGGGGTATGGGAGAGCAATATGACCAGCAAGGAGTCTATAGTCCTAGTCTGGGCAAGATCCGTGGAGGGTGTGTGTGAAGCAGTACCCTGGAGAGAAGTGGGTGGCATCTACAGAGTTTGCTAATGCCTGTGTGTGTGAGGAGGGCCAAAGTGGGTGTGAGGATGAGAGCAAAAGAAATGTTGCAAATAACTTTAGTGAGATTTGAGCAACTGGGTGCATGGAGGTGCTATCATTTTCTGGGACTGGGAAGAGATGTGTGGGGATTGTTTAAGAGTTCACCAGGCTAAATATTGGTCAGATATTAACTCCCCCCCCACCCCCCCCACACAAATAATGGATAAAATGTGCCAACACTCGGTAGAATTGTGCCTGGTTTTCAGCACATATTTGTTGAAAGAATTAATAAGTGAATCTATGGATTTTATTTCTTGATTCAATTCAGCAAATAATAAAGGAAATGCCAAGCAATTTGAGCTTCAGAAAGAAAGGAAGTGGAGTGACTTATTGAAAAGGATCTGGGACCACTTCCAACATGTGTGTGCATAAGTTTCTCAAACAAGCAGTTCTCTGAGACACCAGCTGGGTGAGCTATAATTTAATTCAATTCTGACACTATCTACCCGGAGATGGCGTCAGATCCCACCGGCTAAGGACTCAGTCCCATGAAATTGCTCCTACCCCACTTCAGATGCTGTTCACAAATAATAGGTTACCCACAACTTCTATACAATTTGGTACAAATTGTAGGTTCCCATGACCTCTCCTTGGTTGGATTAATTTGCTGTAGCAGCTCACAGATCTGTTTATTATAGGACATGATAGTGGACATAGGTGTACAGCCAGGTGAGGAGCTACAGATGGTGAGGTCTGGGAGCGTCCGGAGCTCAGGAGCTTCTGTCCCATGGAGTTGGGGTGCGTCACCTTCCAGGGTGGATATGTTTACCCACATGGAAGCTCTTTGCCTACTAATGGGATTTTTTAATGGAGCTTGCTCATGTAGGCACGATCAAGTCACTCCATTTCCTGCCCCGCTCCCTTATTTGGAGAAGTGGGGGCGGTACTGAAAATTCCAACCTTCTAATCATGGCTTGCTCTCTGCCCCATCCAGGAGCCATCCAGAGGCCCACCCCAGTCACCTCGTTAGAACAAAAGTCAGTCCTATCACCCAGGAAACTGCAAGGGTTTCAGGAGCTCTGTGCCGGCAAGGGGTGGGGGCAGGGACCAAGCATGTACTTCTTATTATAAATCACAATATCACATTGTATTCCATTTTCTGGTTTGCTAACCACAGGGCAGCAACTTTCTTCCAGGGTTCAGAGCAGCCTGGGTAAGCAGAACAGAGAGATGGGTGTATTCTCATACTCCCTAGGATGGTCAGGTTTGAGGTGTTCTATTGGCTTTCTGACCTACTCTCCCTGACTTCCGTATCTCCTCAGATGCCTGTGATATCACGTTTGACCCTGACACGGCACACAGGTATCTCCGGCTGCAGGAGGACAACCGCAAAGTCACCAACACTACCCCCTGGGAGCATCCCTACCCAGACCTCCCCAGCAGGTTCCTGCACTGGCGGCAGGTGCTGTCCCAGCAGAGCCTGTACCTGCACAGGTACTACTTCGAGATCGAGATCTCTGGGGCAGGAACCTACGTCGGCCTGACCTGCAAAGGCATTGACCGGAAAGGGGAGGAGCGCAACAGCTGTATTTCAGGAAACAACTTCTCCTGGAGCCTGCACTGGAACGGGAAGGAGTTCTCGGCCTGGCACAGCGACACGGAGACCCCGCTCAAAGCCGGCCCTTTCCGGAGGCTGGGCATCTACATCAACTTCCCGGGAGGGATGCTCTCCTTCTATGGTGTGGAGCCCGATGCCATGACTCTGGTTCACAGGTTTGACTGCAACTTTTCGGAGCCAGTCTACCCAGCCTTCTGGCTTTCCAAGAAGGAAGACACCATCCGCATTGTGGATCTGGGAGAGGAGCCTGAGAAGCCGGCACAGGCCTCAGTGAAGGCTGCTCCTTAGACGCTGGATCCACATTCCAAACTGTTTGCTAACCGCAGGGCAGCAGCTTGCCCTCCGGGGGCAGAAATCTCTGCCAGGGGTAGCTGGCTTGAGAAATTTGTGGGTCTGTGAATGAGGACAAGAGTCGCTGGCTTCTCCCTTCTGCTCTATGCTGTGCTGGTCTTCGAGTTTGTAGTCATATTCAGGTAAAAGTCCTTTTTGAGTGATACTCGAGTCTCCAATCTTTGAGTGACATCCTCCTGTCTGCTCAGGTGAACGGCACATTGTACCTATAACTGGTAACCAGGAATCTTCAGGGAGATAAAAAAAAAAAAATCACAGAATAATCGCAATAAATTGCTAACTTTATCACGCGTTTCCTGGGTCCCAGACACTGTTTTGAGTGCTTCCTGTGCATCAACCCAGGGGCTCTCATATTACAATCCCATGGGTGGTGGGTGGATGCTCATATCAGCCCCAATTTGAAGACGGGAAAACTATGGTCCAGGGGGGATAGTTAACTTGCTCAAGGTCACTGCGGTCACATGGTGAGTAGGTGACAGAGCTGGGGTTCAGACTTGAAGGGATGACATTAAACTTTTAACCACTATACCGCGCTGCCTTCCTCACTAGATCATGGGTGTCGTGTATAAGGGAATAAACTACATGATGACCTGTTTACATGGCAACAGAGCATCCTAAACCCTCCTCTCAGAGTTTGCAAATCTCTCTGCAGCCCCCACCTCTGATGGGACTCTACCTGTGCTGTAGCAGACAGCTCACTCGTGCGTTTTGGGGACAGCAAGGGTGATAAGAAGTGTGTTAGTGTATCCAAGTCTAAGACCCCATGACTCTGGGCAAGGGTCTCATTCCTCTCTTCTGAAGTCACCTGGAGTATGTGGACTTGTGATTTCTCTTTCAAAGGACAGTTCTTCACATATTTAAGGGCGGTTCTCACAACACATCCTCCCAGGAAATTCTTCACACTGTATTCCTCACTTTTCTTGTTTTTACATTTTATTTCCCATTTTCCTTCATGGTTTCCAGGTCTTTCACTCCCCTAGCCATTTCACCCTCCTTTCCACAGATGTGGAAATCCATAAGATTTATGGCGAACATTCACATTTTTTTATTTAGGCAAATGACAAACTATTTTTAAATGAGTTTCTGAGAATATAACTGAAAGTCCCTGTAGAAAATGTAACTTCTGGTTCTGTGTCAAAGCAAACGTGTTCACCCAGCTGCTGATCCCCTGGGAAAGAGGTAGGTGAGAAAAGAAAACAAAAATGTGATATTGTGATTTATAATAAGAAATACATACTTGGTCTCTGCCACCCCCCCACCCCCCCACCACCGCCCCTGTTCCTGGCACAGAGCTCCTGAAACCCTTGTAATTTCCTAAGTGATAAGAGCTCTAAGAGCATCTCTTGTTCTATATGTCTTGCCTTTGAGCAGTCTGATGCTTCTATCTGAAGAGTACATTATTACAGCATCACTTGACTTGTTTCCAGAGACCCTGTATTATTTGTATCTGAGAATATATATGGTGTAGGATTTGGCATCTTTTTTTTTTTAAATATATTTTATTGATTTTTTACAGAGAGGAAGGGAGAGAGATAGAGAGTCAGAAACATCAATGAGAGAGAAACATCGATCAGCCGCCTCCTGCACACCCCCCACTGGGGATGTGCCCACAACCCAAGTACATGCCCTTGACCGGAATCGAAGCCGGGACCCCTCAGTCCGCAGGCCGACGCTCTATCCACTGAGCCAAACTGGTTTCGGCTAGGATTTGGCATCTTTACTGAATTCTTTAAATTTGAATTCTATTGAATTATTTTTTTTAAATATATTTTATTGATTCTTTACAGAGAGGAAGGAAGAGGGACAGAGAGCTAGAAACATCAATGAGAGAGAAACATCGATCAGCTGCCTCCTTCACACCCCCCACTGGGGATGTGCCTGCAACCAAGGCACATGCCCCCGACTGGAATCGAACCTGGGACCCTTCAGTCCGCAGGCCGACGCTCTATCCACTGAGCCAAACCGGTTACGGCTTGAATTATTTTTTTACTTGAATTTTAAATTTCATTACGTTATTGCTGCTTGCTGAGATGGTTTTGATTAATGACTATTTCCAATATATTAGCTCTCCTTCCTAGCCTAAAGTCACCTATACAATTGTTGCTGTACTTTTCTTCTTAAGTCTTGATCTTGTTGATACCTACATTGTTTAGGGTAGGGCCAAATACAGAATCCTGCAGCACACAGTCAACACTCTTTGGGTTTAATTACTCAGTAAGTTATGCATCGGTAGAACTTTTGCCCCTTTATCTGCTGGACCCAAAGAAGACCTCTTTTCAGTGGCAAAGATCAAGCGAAGCATTCCCTGCTGCATCTCTATGTCTGCAGTCCTTGCTGCTCCTGTCTAGCTATGCTTTCAAAAGAGAAAATGAGATCCGCCTGGCCTGCTTTAATTTTATTGAGCCCCTGTGGGCTGGTGGTGCTTGTCACTTCTCTAACTGCTCAGAAAATATTTAATAAACCATTTAAGAATTCTGCTGTGGGCTAACATCATTTACTAGTCTGTTGTTTCCAGAATTTAACTTATTTTTCTTTTTAAAAATCAAAACGATTTTCCTGTTCCCAATTCTCCTTAATTTCTCAAAGAATAAAGCCTAGTGTTTAGTCACATTGACAAGATGTGTCTGTCATGAGTTATAAACTGTTTAGACCAGAATACTTGGCTCAGATGAGAGGAACCCTTTGGGTGTCTCCTTACCTGTTGTGAACTTTGTTCCCTCTCAGCTCCTTTCATCTGTTCTCAGTTCTAAAACTTTTCTTCTTGATATAAAAGATCAAAGCAAATTTGAGAGTTGGGGATATTTGCTTTCTTTCTGTCATTGCTTCAACTGATAAGGCTTTTTTTATTCTTTTTCTTGGCTCCCAAACTGAAAATTGCCTAAAACACACAAATAATTTTTTTGAAAGAAAATAAAGGCCTATTTTATATTCTCTGTCATTTCCCCAACTGTGTGTGTTATTCTTCTGTATTTACCCACCTTTATTTCCTCTCATTATGTAGACTCATTCTGGAAAGAAAAACAAACAAAAACTGAACTCATCAAGAGCTCCTTTTGGTGCCAGATTATTTGGTTCCATCACCAGATCACTTGTGACTGGAAAGTCGGAATGCGATTTTAGCCACTACATAAATGTATTCTATGTCAACTCTTTCTTTTTTAATTATATTTTTATTTTTTATTACAGTTGCCATACAATATTATATTAGTTTCAGGTGCACAACCCAGTGATTAGACATTACATAACTTATAAAGTGATCATCCAATAAATGTATTTCCCATCTGACATAATACATAGTTATTACAATACTAGAGGCCCGGTGCACAAAAATTTGTGCACTCGGGGGGGGGGGGGGGCGGGGTCCCTCAGCCCGGCCTCTGCCCTCTCGCAGTCTGGGACTCCTCAGGAGATAACGACCTGCTGGCTTAGGCCTGCTCCCACGTGGCAGAGGGCAGGCCCAATCCCTAGGTGCAGCCCCTGGTTGGGCTCAGAGCAGAGCCGATTGGGGAGTTGGGGCGCCGCCCCCTGTCATGCACAGAGCAGGGCGGATTGGGAGGTCACGATGCCACCCTCAGTCACGCTCAGGGTAGGGCCGATTGGGGGTTGGGGCACCGCCCTCTGTCACACTCAAGGCAGAGTTGATGGGGAGGTTGTGGCGCCACCCCCTGTCACGCACAGAGCAGGGCCAATCAGGGGGTTGGGGAGCTCCCCCCTGTCACTCACAGAGTAGGGCCAATAGGGGAGTTGGCACACTGCCCCTGTCACACACAGAGCAGGGCGGATCAGGGGGTTGGGATGCCGCCCTCTATCACCCACAGAGTAGGGCCGATCAGGGGGTTGGGGCACCGCCACTGTCATACTCAGGGCAGGGCCGATGGGGAGGTTATGGCTCTACCCCATCACACACAGAGCAGGGCCCGTGGGGGGGGGGGGGAAGGGGGGGTTGGGGCGCTGCCCTCTATCACCCACAGAGCAGGGCAGATCAGGGGGTTGGGGCGCCTTCACCTGTCACGAACAGAGCAGGGCTGATAGGGAGGTTGTGGCCCTGCACCCTGTCACACACAGAGGCACAGGGCAATCAGGGCATTTGGGCGCTGCCCCCTGTCACACTGATCCCGGTGCTGGGAGGCCTCTCAGCTCTGCTGATCCCAGTGCTGGGAGGCATATTACCCTTTTACTATATAGAATAGAGGCCTGGTGCATGGGTGGGGCCGGCTGGTTTGCCCTGAAGGGTGTCCTGGATCAGGGTGGGGGTCCCCACTGGGGTGCCTGGCCAGCCTGGATGAGGGGATGATGGCTGTTTGCAGCTGGTCACACACCCTTCAGGGTGGGGGTCCCCACTGGGGTGCCTGGCCAGTCTGGGTGAGGGGCTGAGGGCTGTTTTCAGGCTGGCGGGTGACGGAAGCTCCCAACTGCTTCTTTTTTTCTTTCTTTTTTTTTTTTTTTTTTTCTGGGCCAGCTTTAGCTCTGAGGCTCCAGCTCTTAGGCCTCCGCTCCTAAAAGCAGGTATCTGGTTTGTTTCGGTTCTCGAAACTCTGTATCAACTCCAGCTCTGAGATCCCAGCCAGCTGAAAGCTGGTTTCTGGGGTTTTGTTTAGAGTCTACATTTGTTACAATGTTTGAAACTGCAGGCTCAGAGGCCTGCAGCAGCCAGTGGGGAACGTTGGAGTCCTCCGTCACTGAAGCAAGCAAGCCTCATGTTAGTTTCAAGCTGCCTGGCTGCCGGCCGCTATCTTGGCTGACAGTTAATTTGCATAGTGCCCTGATTAGCCAATGGGAAGAGTAGCGGTCGTACGCCAATTACCATGTTTCTCTTTTATTAGTGTAGATTATTGGCTATATCCCCTATGCTGTACTTTATATCCCATGACTATTCTGTAACTATCAATTTGTACTTCTTAATCCCTTCACTTTTTTCACCCATCTCCAAAACTCCCACCCATTTGGCAACTATCAAAATGTTCTCTCGCCCTAACCGGTTTGGCTCAGTGGATAGAGTGTTGGCCTGCGGACTAAAAGGTCCCAGGTTCGATTCCAGTCAAGGGCATGTACTTTGTTTGTGGGCACATCCCCAGTAGGGGGTGTGCAGGAGGCAGCTGATCAATGTTTCTCATCTATGTTTCTAACTCTCTATCCCTCTCCCTTCCTCTCTGTAAAAAATCAATAAAATATATTTTTAAAAAATGTTCTCTGTATCTATGAGTCTGTTTCTGTTCTGCTTGTTTGTTAATTTTGTTTTTTGATTCCACATTTAAGTGAAATCATATATATATATATATTCTTTTTTATAAGTTTAGTAATGTTGCTTTTTAAAAAAATATATGTTTATTGATTTCAGAGAGGAAGGAAGAGGGGGAGAGAAATAGAAACATCAGTGATGAGAAAGAATCATTGATCGGCTGCCTCATGCAAGCCCCTGACTTGGGATCGAGCCCACAGCCCAGGTATGTGCCGGCGACCAGAATCGAAACTGGGGCCTTTCAGTTTGCAGGCCAATGCTCTATCCACTGAGCCAAACTGGCTGGG